ATAAATCCAAGAGCAATTCGTCACTTTTATAAGCCCAGAAAATACCAGACTGATTTTCTCATAAAGATCCTGCCATCAGTTAAATGGATAAACGATTAGTGTACGAATAAAAAACAGTCCTGCAGTTAGTGGTAGTAACGTGCCCATTGTTTGTAGACATAATTGGATTGATGGACCTCAGTCATGACACTGTAAACACCAGTTATGCCAGAATGTATATATCCTAAGATACCTCATTTGTCCTAGGTATGTTTTTTGGTTTTCAAGCTGTGTTCTGGGGAAACCCAAGTAGCAGACCATTGTACAAGTTCATGGTGCATGTGAGTGGATGGGGGTAGATTGTATGGCAAGGATCAACTTATAACTTACGGGCCAGGTGTGCTGAACATTTCCATAGGGTCTGTTTTTTTTTTTTTTTAATTTATTAATTTTTTTTTTTTTTTGCCATGTTGAGGTCTTCATTGCTGTGTGCAGACTTTCTCTGGTTGTGGCAGGCGGGGGCTTCTCTCTAGTTGCTGCTCACGGGCTTCTCATTGCGGCAGCTTCTCTTGATGCAGAGCACAGGCTCTAGGCATGCAAGCTATACATAAACACACAATATTATTTTTCAGATTCCTTTCCCTCATAGGTCATTAGACGATATGAGTATAGTCCCCTAAGGTATACACGTTTTTTTTTGTTGTTGTTGTTTTTAAGTCGCCAGTCATGTCTGACTCTTTGTGACCCCATGAACTATTTATTATATATAGATAGATAGAAAGATATAGATATATATAGTGTGTGTGTATCTGTTATTCCCAAACTCCTGATTTGTCCATTCCCCCTTTCCCATTTAGTAACCCTAAGTTTGTTTTCTGTGTCTGTGAGTCTATTTCTCTTCTCTTTTGTATATAAATTTCATTTGTATCTTTTTTTAAAAATTTCTACATGTGAGTGATATCATAATATATATATATATATGATCACATATCATATACCATGTGATCAGATAAGCTTTAATTTGAGGAAGCAGTCTATGGCTAAATATAAATTTGAATACTACTGTGCTATGTAAGTAAAAGACTTTTAGAAGCTAACATAGTTGTTTTTCAGATTAATAAAGACCTTTTCCTTTATGTGCCACAGTTAACCACTAGGAAGAAAAAAAAAAAAAGCTGCCCCAAGTCTTTTTTCAAAACCTCTGCAGCATATTGCATTTTCTTCCAATCATTTTTAAAGAATATGTATGTTTGTGATTTATTTTTTTGTTGTTTTTACAAATTTATGATTGCACTAAACACACAGTTTTGCAGCTTGACTCTTTCATGCATTATGAGCATTTTCAGTATTTTCACTAGTTGAAATCATGACCTTTAGTGCTGTACAATATTAAATTGAATTATTGAATCATGATTTATTTAAAGAGAGCTCTGCCATACTTTTTTTCTCTCTCTTTTTTGCAACTAAAAATAGTTTATTGTGTTTAAATCCTTGTTTGTAGCCCTAATAATTTTCTTCGGCAAATTCTTGAGATCACAATTACAAGAGCAAAAGGCTTACCATCTTTAAGCCCGTTAGATGGAGATAATATTAGGAAGAAAATTAAAGCAGGACACAGGCAGTGAGGGGGCCTTGCTATATTAGAGAAGGGTTGTCAGGCAAGACCTCTCTAAGGAGGCAGCATTGGATTAGAGACCTGAATGAAAGGTGGAATTGAGCCTTTGGGACACTTTCAGGCGAGGCCTTCCGGGCAGAAAGCAGAGGCAGGAGCAGGTGTTAAGGCCCTGAGGGGTAGGACCTTGCTTTGAGTTTTCTAGAACAGGAAGGACTCCAGCAGGGCTGGAGTCGAGTGCGCAGAGGTTGCTTGGGGAATCTAAGGTGGGAGGTTAACCAGGGGGCAGACCAAGAAGGGCTTTCTGAGCCATGGTAAGGATGTGCAGTTTTGTTCTTAGTGGAGTTCAAAGCTGTAGAAGGATCTGGGCCCAGAAAAGGATATGACCTAATCCCTTCGTGGAGAATCCACGATGGAGGCAGCAATGGAAGCCCCAGACAGACAATAGTTGAGAGGCTCTTAGTGTCTTCCAGAAAGGAGATAATCACAGAGCAGCAATAGCAGAAATGCCTGGTACTCTGTAAGTTCAATGAAAAACATACTGTATGTGTGTGCATGCCTGTGTACATTTGTGAAATTTTCGTCGTCACTCTTTGGGTAGGAACAACGTCATTATATTGTTGTTCACCTTTTTTTTAGTGGCATAGAATATTTATTGAGTGGTCTAATTAGCATGTGTTTTTTCCGTCTTATTTTGGATGACATTTTCTCATCAACTGATACGAGAGCATGAGTGATTCAGATTGTAACCCTCAGATCATCAGATTATTACCATTTTATATGTCAAATCTGTGGCAAATATTTTCTTGGTGTGTTGGCCGCTTCATTTTGTGCATGAGGTATTTTTATAGAAGTTTTTAATTTGGAACCAGACCTCTGCTTGATGATTGTGGCTTTAATCTCCTCTAGGCCCAGATTTGCTTTGGAAAGCTTTCTTTGATTTCCAGGTGCTGGGCCTACTTTGGTTTCTGTCTCGAGGGCCAGTGCCCCCAGGGTCATTTCCTCACTAGGAATGATTTACTTATGGACCATGGCCAGATTTTCCCAACTTCCTGACCAGCTGTTTGTGGGGGAAGGATGGAAAAAGAAGATGACTTAAGGTGGAGACAGGAGGGAATGCTAGAAATGGAAAGGCTAGGATATTAACAATCAGAAAACCAAACAGTTTGCACTCAGAATTTCTGGACCAGGAGGAGAGAGGAGTGGAACCAGAGTTCCCCAGACCCATTTTAAGCTGACTGATTCGTCCTCTCCAGTGACAAAGCAGTGATGGTGGTTTAAAAACCCAATCCAGTTGGCTTAACATAAATAAATGTTTTATCACAGATACTGGTGACAACTCTTACTTTCTGGTGGCAATGTGGATTTACTTCTTTTCTTATAAATTTATTTGTTTGGAGGTTCTGGGTCTTAGTTGCGGCATACAGGATCTTTTTAGCTGCATCATGTGAGATCTAGTTCCCCAACCAAAGATTGAACCCAGGCCCCCTGCACTGGGAGCGCAGAGTCTTAGCCACTGGACCACCAGGGAAGTCCCTAGATTTACCTGTTTCCATCTTAACCATTAAATGTAAGGTCCGTGGAAGAAGGGGTTATGCTGGCTTTGTTTATCTCGCTTTTTTCAACTCTCTGATGTTCAGTAAATGTTGGAATATTTATCAGTTGAATGAATGAATGGCTGGAAAATATGCAGTTACTGGGGAGTGGAGGATATTTTGTAATGGACTTGTGGTCAGATGGTTTTAAAATTGTCTCCACTGTCCTGCTTCATTAAACAGAACAGTGCTTTTGGACATCATTAGTTCTTATACCCAAGGCTGGCACATGGTGATGCCTTGAGGAGCTGCTGGGGTTGGTAGTCAAGCTTGCCTCCTTACTTCATGGTCCTGCATCATGTTGCTTTTTCAGCTCTTGTACATGTTTTAAAGCAGTTCTCAGATCTCTCTTGGCTATTTTGGCATCATTTTCTTTTCTAAAAATCTGCCTCATCTTGGATTGATTTTGGATTGACTGATGACTTTTGGTATTCAATACTCTCATTCTTGGGATGGTTCTTGGGATAAATATTAAAGTATCAGTACAGGTTTTCTTCTAGTAAATAAATCCCTTTTAATGGAAGCCAAAAATATTTATTAAACCAAACTGCTAACAGGTATCACTTGATTATTGGAGATAAATTATAATTGTTTACATTTAAAGATGAAATGAGACATCTTCTAAAGCCAACTTTCAATTATCTATGTTAGTGGTGGGCAGGGTACGTGAAAAGAACCAGATGCATGTACTGTCATGTGTGGTCTTTTTGGTATAGTGACTGCTTTCTTGGTTAAATTACAGTTTTGATGTGTCTGTTAAATTCCTGTGTATAACACATAATAACCAGAGCTAAATGGTTCTTGTCAAACAGGAGCTGTGTACGGTGCTACCAAGATGGCACAAGGGAGTGGAGATGATGTTTAGATGTAGAAGCAGAGGATAGCATGAGGAAGGCAGGCAGCTGGATGGGGGAAGCCTGGTCTGCTTGATGAATTAGGGGATATATAGGGATGGTGTGCCCCAGCTTCCAGGAGGATGAAGATCCAGGGAGCAGAAGGTCCCATCTGTGGCTTCCTCATGTGTCCAGGGAAAGAGTACTTTTGGCCAAGGATAGGTTTAAGGTAGAACTGGAAAGAGAGAAATAGATACTCTAGGAGCAAGCTAGAGGAAACAAACCAGAGATGGGACTAGTCTATACTCAGAGGATGTGAAAGAGGATGTGAAAAGTGAGGTCCTTTGGAAGGGAAGCTGGGGCTTAAATGTGTCGGGTATCTGATCTGACCTAAACATCTGTTGAATCACTAAAGAAGTAACATAAACGATCACCAAAGGAACATGTCCCTGAAACCAGGGAGCGTTGAGATCTGAGTTTCATTTCTGTGTTTCTGAGTACCCAAATCTATGTTGTTGTTTAAATGCAAACAATATCAGCGTCAAACCTTGTCTGACAACATAATATCCTCTCTGCACAAAGTCCACGCTCTACCTACATGGGTTGCTTTTTCTAATTTCCATTTTGGGCCAGTTATTGGAGCAGCAGCATCATCAGTTGTAACATGATGAAATATAATGAAATGACCCAATTACAGTCTTTTCTCTTTTCTATTGCATTTTTAGAAAATAGGTCAAAGTCGATAGGATGCTTATATTCTCTTCCCACCTCCAGCTTATTAACTGGAGTATTCATGTCCTGAATATACCAAATGAATGAAAAGGATGGTGTATGGGATAAAGATTAAAAAGATACCATTCGTGTTGCCATTTGTGTGTTATGTACATCTCTGTCCCATATGCTCTAACCACTCATCTTCCGATTCCAGAAAAGTTTGTGTGTGTGTGTTAATGACTTGTAAACATTCCTGACTTCTGATAGGTGGAATGGCTGAAAAACGAGGAGCCCATAGACTCTGAACAAGATGAGCACATTGACACCAGAGCAGACCACAACCTCATCATCCGGCAGGCGCGGCTCTCGGACTCCGGGAATTACACTTGCATGGCGGCCAACATCGTAGCCAAGAGGAGGAGCCTGTCGGCCACAGTGGTGGTTTATGGTAAGACCAGCCCAAAGGCCCGGAGTGGATAGAGAGGACAGAAAGCAGAGGGGTAGAGGGAGGTGCATTTCCTTAGAACTTTCTGTGTGTAACACTGAAGGGAATCCGGCGCGTTTCCGTTACAGCGCCATCTCCTGCCTCACCCCATTGGCAGGTGACGCAGACCCCTATAGCTGGGAATGTGTTTGCTCTTTCATCCAAGATTGGACTTCCGGGGGACAGTGAGTGACATTTTCAATCTATTTTCAAAAGAATCTTAAAAGACGTTTCTTTGCTTCCATTGTGTTTACATTTGAAAAGAATTGAGGTGGGCAACTTCCGCTTCCCACTCTTCCCAAACCCAACATTCACCCCCATCCTCCCCAGACCTGCTATTCGCAGTTCCTCTTCTGGTATATGAAATTCACCAAAAACAAACATGACTATTCGCTGAATAGCTCAGGTAATGCATAAGTGAAATTCCCAGCTATTGAAGTAAGCACTCCTTTCCACAATAGAAGAGCCCTGGGATTTACGTTTGAAGCACTGAAAGTTAATAGAAATTCAGATGCTGTTATTTTCTTCTTCTACTCTGGAATTTCAAGTGCTGTAGAGATATGTTGATGAGTTCTTCGTCTGGTTCATCAGTTCCTTGCAAAGCAAATTCTCTGTATCCCTCCTATGGTCTACAGAAGAGTAGATCAAGAGATGGAGACTAGATCAGCCCCACGGTTGCCACACAGTGGGGCAGCCGGGGAGGGTCCCCGCTGGTCTCTTGGTCCCTGGATGCCCAACTCACAACACCTGGCAAGTGGCTTGCACATAGTAGGCAATCAGTAAAAACCTCTTTCCTTTCTTTTTTTTTTTTTTTTTCTTCTCCCCTCCCCATTTTTCTCTCTCAGTGAATGGAGGCTGGTCTTCCTGGACAGAGTGGTCAGCCTGCAATGTTCCCTGTGGGAGAGGATGGCAGAAACGTTCCCGGACCTGCACCAACCCAGCTCCTCTCAATGGTGGAGCCTTTTGTGAGGGAATGTCAGTGCAGAAAATAACCTGCACTGCTCTCTGTCCTGGTGAGATATGCGTAGATTTCCTTTTCCCTTCTCACACGACTGAGCTGGTGTGAAGCTTTCAGTAGAACCTACCTGCCCAAAGTCAACATCTTCCAGGTTCTTGGAATGGAGCGTTTGTCCAGAGTTCTGACGTGGAACTCATTGTAATAGCAAGAACATGGGTGAAATACCTCTATATGGGGGCATAGTTTTTCTCTTCATACTCAGATTACCCTAGACACTCAACATCAATAAGCCAAATGTTTTTATGTATTTTTATACTACCAGTGTTTGATTGGGCTAAGCCATACCCTTCTCTCCTTGGGTTCTCCCATTGTATAGTGTTCATCTGTATAATAGGGTGTAGTGAAATGCCTTTGAGCACAAAACAGGTACCAAATACTTTCCCTTTTATCATCAGTCACCATTCAACTAACCTCATCAGGTTTGCCTTTGCATTTAAGACAATGCAATTGGCAGAGATTGCATCACAGCCATTTCTGTTTTGCATTTGGGCTATGATTGCCTTCCTTTGAATAGAGGCTTCATTTACCAAATATGGCTTTTACAAGTTCTTTTGCTCATCTTACTGGCTGAAACCCAATTTATACAATGAGAAATAGATGAACCAGAAGATGACTTTCTGAATGGGAAGCATATCCTCCCACTGAGAAATAAAATGAATCCTGGGTCTCACACGCATGATCGAACATTAAGTCCAAGGATGCTGGACCAGAGACTTGTGTCTTTAAAATTGCAAATATAGTGCCACTCAAAGCTAAGGCGAGGCTTTTGCCTGTGCTTGGAGTTTCATTTTGAATTTGTATTCAGTACACATTTATTGAGTGCTTACTATGTGCGGGTACTATGCAAGATACATTTACACAATGTCCTTTAGTTTTGTGTTGTGAGTTTTATGATTCCCCAGTTGACAGAAATGGAAAAGACAGGCTAAGTGCTTGCTTAGGGTGGCTCAGCCAAAAAGTTGACAGAACCAAGACAAGGATTCAGATATTTTGATTCAAATTTAGTATTTTTATTTTACCCTACACTGGGCTTCCCAGGTGGTTCAGTGGTAGAGAATCTGTCTGCCGATGCAGAAGACACAGGTTCAATCCCTGGGTCAGGAAGATCCCCTGGAGAAGGAAATGGCAACCCACTCCAGTATTCTTGCCTGGGAAATCTCATGGACAGAGGAGCCTGGTGGGCTACAGTCCGTGGGGTCACAAAGAGTCAGGCACAACTGGGTGGCTGAGCATGCACATGCACTTGACTAGTCGCTCTGGATTAAAAATGGCAATATCTTCAATAACCCACATAAGCATGGTTGGCCTATTCCTAGGAGGTAGTGGAACAATTGCTTCCAACAGCTGCCATAATCTCTAGGGTTGTTTTTTAGTGGAATTAAGTTCAGTTTGTTCGTTTCTACATACAGCAGCAATCCATGACCCAAGAAATTCTATTTATGTAAGTCTTGGTATCTTGGGGCTTGGCTGACCTGTTTTAGTTTAACACTATCAATATATATGGGTTTAACTTTTTATTATTAAGGGGTTTTTAGGACTTAAAGAACATTTATTCTACTTTCTGTTCTAAACTATCAACCCGTAAGGAAGTAGTGATTACCAGTGGTTCTTGCACAGAGTGTATCTGTCCATCTAAGGTGCACTTGGGCATAAAAGATGGGGAAAGAATGGATAATGACATGATTAGCTAACCTGAGGGCATGGGTAATTCACATGTTTGCCCAAATTCAGTAATTGGTCTCATCCTGCAATAGCGAGAGAATTATACCACTGCTGTTGTTCACCTGTCTCTTTAGGAAAGAAACCATGGAGAGAAGATAAACGGATATATTATTTTGTTTCTGTGGTGGTGGTGATTTCTTTGAAATCCAGCTCTAAGAACCACAGTGGCCTTGGGGTGAGTCTCCTGACAGCTGTCAGATGAAGCCTAATGATGGCTACTTCTGTTTCCCTTTGAAGTGGACGGGAGCTGGGAAGTGTGGAGTGAGTGGTCAGTCTGCAGCCCAGAATGCGAGCATCTGCGGATCCGAGAATGCACAGCCCCCGCCCCGAGAAACGGGGGCAAATTCTGCGAAGGTCTAAGCCAGGAATCCGAGAACTGCACAGATGGCCTTTGCATCCTAGGTAAGACCTTACGATACACATCTTCTGTGTCTGTCCATCATAGGAAAAGATGCTATGATAACGCCAGGACCATTGATTCAGTGAAACCAGTTCGCAGAAAACAAAATCCCCCAGAGCAAAAATAAAATGGGTGGAAAGTGTCAAAGAGCAGACAAATAGGCCATTTTAAACATCGTTACCGCTGTCAGTTCCACCCATGCGTGTATTTACTGTTAGCGTAACTAGATATGCTTGGGAGAGAAATGATGCAGGCAAATGTGTTAGACTTTGGGGCTTAGAAGTTCTTCTCTTATAGGGGCCAGTGTTTTTAGGTTTGGTGAAATTCTGATCTGGATCAATGTAGGCTTATATTTCTCCAAAGAATTTTATCAGACTCTAAAGCATTTTGTAATCCTCAGAGACCATGGGACATGCAGTGTGACCAAGGGATGTGCGTTGTGACTGTTACCTTACAGATGGGGGGAAATACGACACTGAGGAGGTGGCTGGGTTTGTCTCAAATTGGTCTGGCGTGGCCCAAATTAGAATGCCCATTTCAGAACTTCCAAGACTGTGTTATTCCTGAGGTTATGTTATAACTTCTTCAAGTGACTGTCTGCCTGGGTATAAAACCATGGGAGGATTAAATAGAACCACACAGAGGTGAGTTTTAATTTGGTGGTGTCCCTTACTAGCTTTGTGATCTAGGGTAAGTCACTCAACTGCTTAACGTCTCTAAATTGTACCAAGAGTACCCAAAAAGTGCCTATTTTTGCTTATTGTCTGGGCCCAATATTAAAAGAATATATTTTGAATATTTCATGGCACAGAATAGGTGCTCGATAAATAGCAATCCCTTCTCTGCTTGCCCACTCAGATGTGCTAAGGGTATATTGATTTTTCTTAGATCCTTCAAAAACAGGAGATTCGAGGCGTACTTATTCTTTAGAACTAGGTTGCCTTCTAGGATGATATCCAGCAGAAAATAGTGTAGTTCAATAATTTGTCATCTTTTCAGGAATATGTGTCACTTTTTATTTAGGAAGATTATAGTATGAAGGAGGCATCTAAGTTGTATTTATTTTTCTGTGTCAATATGACTAGCTATGCTTGAAAGCAAGGCTCTACAAACAGTTATATTTTCAAAATGAGTCGAAATGGTTAATGCATTAGTGAAAATGTTCAATACATTGAAACAAGTACTACCTCATAGCCCCATAATTCCTTTATTTGCTCAGTTCAAGTACTGAGTAATCTGCATGTGTCAGACAGAATACAAAGGTCTGTAATTAAAGAGAACCAAGTCTTGGGCTTCCCTTTTGGCTCAGATGGTAAAGAATCTGCCTACAATGCAGAAGACCTGGGTTCAGTCCCTGGGTCGGGAAGATCCCCTGGGGAAGGGAATGACTACTCCCTATAGTATTCTTGCCTGGAGAATCCCATGGACGGAGGAGCCTGGCAGGCTGCAGTCCGTAGGGTTGCAAAAAATTCAGAGAAGACTAAGTGACTAACACTTTGACTTTTCACCCACCAGTCTTAGTGGTGAAAGTAAATATACCGTCACAGTCAAGATAGACAACGTTTCCATTCATCCCCAAAGTTTGCTTGCAGTCTTTTGTAGTCATTTCTTTTCCCCTACCCCTAACCACCACTTTTCTGCTTTCTTTCAGTTGTCATAATGTGTTTGACATTCCTTCATTCTGCTACACCTATCAGTAATTAATTTTTTATTTTTGTTAAGTAGTGTTCCATTTTATGGATCTACCACAATGTGTTTATCCTTTCACCAGGTGATAGACACAGGATTGTTTTCATTTGGGGGTGCTTATGAACAAAGCTGCTATGAACCCTTGTGTACAGACCTTGTGTGGACATTTATTTTCATTTCTTTTGGGTAAATACCTAGAAATGGGATTAGTGGTCCATGTGGTAATTAGATATTTAATGATATAAGAAACTTTCTGAAATAACTGTGATCATTTAAATTTTTACCACTAGGATGTAACTGTGCTGGTTGTTCCACATCTTTGCCCACACTTACTATTGGTCATTTTAAATTAAGTCATTCTAATGAGTTTGTAGATTTTTTTTTTATTGTAACTTGCACTTCCATAACGGCTAATGATATTGAGCAAATTTTCATTTGTTAATTGGTCATTCATCTGTGTTTGTTGATGAAATGTCTATTCCATTCTTTTCAAATATAAGGAGACAATACAAACTCATTAGCAAGATGTTTAAGGAAATGTGTTTCTGGCTACCCTTGACCACCACCAGATATGTCTGAAATATACCTTTAAGTTGTGACTCTTTCTTGACATGTTTCTTAACATTGATTAGGACTATAGTTAAGACAATAATTTCATATATCTTCTAAAAAGTCCTTGAGGGTGTAACTATGTGGCTTACTAGTTATAGTTTAGATGATCATTAGACACTTTTGAAATATTAGAAATAAAAAACAGAAATAAGAGAATACTGATTGAAGTATTATAGTACTATTATAGTACATAGTAATCACCTTCCCTGCCTGCCTGCTCAGGTGTTTCAGTGGTGTCCAACTCTTTGCGATCCCATGGACTGCAACCCACCAGGCTCCTGTCCTAGAATCCTGTCCATGGGATTCTCCAGGCAAGAGTACTGGAGAGGGTTCCATGCCTCCCTCCAGGGAATCTTCCCAACCCAGGGATCAAACCTGCGTCTCTTATGTCTCCTTCATCGGCAGGCAGGCTCTTTACCACTGGCACCATCTAACAACCACCTGTTGGACTTGAGCTTAGGGAAAATTCTATGAATGTCAAGCTTCAACCTTAGTTGACTGAAAATTAAGAGTTACTGATTGAAGACAGGCAATGGTTAGCTCCAAATGTGAGAAAAAATTATCAAATATGTGAATATTATTTATTTGCACTTGTATTGTTAGTTGAGTAAGAGGGTACTGACCAGTCCAGACCCCAGCTTTAAAATCTGAGATATTGTATTCACCAGGGTTCTCCAGAGAAACAGAACCAATATGATACATATATAAGAAACAGGATATACACACACACATATATAAAGAGATTCTTTATAAGAAATTGGCTCATATTATTATAGAAGCTGGCAAATCCAGAGTCTGTAGAACCAATGTCCCAGTTCAGAAACTGTCAGGCAGGAGGAGAGTCTCTTACCTGGGAAGCATCAGGCATTCAAATGGTTAGATGTGGCCCACCCACAGTGTGGAGGGCAGTTTGCTTTTTTCAGCCTATTGTAACGTTGGTCTCATCTGAAAACACCCTCATAGACTAATATTTGACCAAATATTTGGGTACCTGATGGCCTGGTCAGGTTGACACATGAAATTAACCATCCCAGATGCATATGTACTTGTGAAGTTCCAAAGCCTAGCTCCTTCCTTTTAAAGGCATCAAATCAAGGTTCAGGCAGTTACTTTGTTACTGAGTGAAACCCTCATATGAACCTTGGCCATGTGTGGTTTTCTGTCTCACATGTGCAATTTAGTGAGTATTCTGTTTCCATTTTCCAGTAGTGGAAATAGAATGAACAGAACAGTGAGCTTTACAATATGCTCAGCATTAGCGGTTGAGAGCTTCGTTAAATCCCCTCATGAGTTTAAAACACTATGTAAGCCTTTTCTCTCTGTTCAATCTCTTCATTCCCCTATTCCCTTTTCTACTTAAGAATGGGTTTGTCTAGCATTCTTTGCCTCTGTCGTATGCATATTAAGATGTCTGTCAAACATGATCAGAGACTCTTGATGGTTACAATGACTAAGCTTTTTGATGGAAAAATTGAAGCCTGTGAAATCATAGACGTGAATGAGATGTACTTATACATCAGTGGGAAAGGAGTGTGTTTCTAGGAGCCCAACACCAGGATACAGTCTGCCCTTTAAGAGACAGAGTGGGTCCCATGTCAGCAAAGATGAAGCGCATTTGACTGTGTCTGCAGGAATCAGTGAACAGCGGTCTGGCTAGATGGTGCCAGCATTACTCTCTGCTTCTGGCTGGTACTCTGCTGAAGTGTTCTTGGTGAAACTAGCTGTGCTCTCGGGATGGAGATCCAATGAAGGCTGGGTTTGATTAAAATAACATTTGGCAACAGCTTTATGGAGCAGTCACTTTGTGAAAGATCTGGGTCATGTTCCAATTGGGGAATTTCCTTCATTTGATTTTTTTTTTTCCCCTTTATGCCAGACATGACCCTGAAGCAAGTCCTCAATTCCCCAACTTCTCTTGGCAGTTTCACAGTGACATTGCTTGGCTCTTGGATGACCTACAATTCTTTAATTTTTACTTAGCTCTCAACAAAGCATCTGGATTTCCTTTGTTGTCCCTGAGGGCTGCATTTCTCCTAGAGATGGAGCTGCCAGCTCTGAACGATCGCTTTAATATTGGGGTATGATTGTTGCTTGGTCAGTTGTGACTGAAGCACAGGACCTTAGTGTTATGCTAGCACAGATGGCCACACCTAAATGCTCCCAACAAGGAAATAAATGCCCCAAGACTGGTGAGGTTAGGCGATTGATGCCAATAGCAGTGAGTGTGAGGTTCCAAATTGCAAGCATAAACTAAACATCCAGTGAGTGCCTTTGTGCTGGAACTGTTCTTTTCCAGGAAGACAATTATGTGGAATGCCTGTCGAGAGATGGGAACTTGTGGATGCGTGTTTTCTAATCTTTAACCTCAGAATCAGGTAGCTTTCTAACTGCTGTCTTTTCCACTTGCTGAACTTAGCTACCTCTGTGCTTGAAGGATCACTGAAATGTACATGTAAGTGACATGTACATTTCCTCATTGGCAGGAACAGTAGGGTGAACATGGTGGGGTGCTTAGTTTGAATCTGGGAAGTAAGGGGAACCTGTTCCCCGCACTTTTTATTTCAGCAGATAGAAAACTAAAGGCTTTGCCTTCAGAGGATTAAGTGAATTCGCGTCAGACAGGATTAGTACCCAGATAGGCAGTGATGATGAAGCCAGAGAAATTCCACAGGGTCCTGAAAGAGAAGCTTCGTGGCTGAGC